AAATAACGTAGTCTGTTAAGGTGACTCTCAGGCTGCACATCACAAATTCAGCACACTACTGTACAGGTACACAAACAGTTATTCCTGTCTCTTATACACATCTAGATGTGTATAAGAGACAGGTTTCACCATGGCCTGTGGTAAAACTAACCACGTCGATAAATCCCAGTGCGAACGACAGGAAGTTTACCCATTGGAATGTTACCCACAGTCTCGGTAAAAATTTCCCTATTTTAAATCCAGTGCGATTGCGGCTTAATATTTTCTGATGTAGTGAAGCTAAAGGGACAGGCAGGAATTAGGCTCAAATTGCATTTCACCTTGCAAATGAACCTATAATGCTTTGTACACACTAAGTGATATGGCTATACTTGGGTATAATATGATATCATGCCTACCCTATGGGCACATAAATGTGTCACAGTTTAATAGTGTATACAAAGCTTTATATACGTTTGTCTAATTAGCCTTCTTGAGAGCAAGCTGAATCATTATATTTTCAAATGTTTTATTAAGTTAAAACTTTATATAACCTTTTTATATATACTTTGAAAAAACTGTTGTGAAGTTTAAGTGTGAAACCACTCAGGTGTTCAGAAACCAATGTTCAATTCAATATTTATATATTTTTAACTTAAACTTTTACATGTACATGTTTATTACTCAAAGATAGCAATGCAGATATGAATTTATATTATTATTATTATTATTATTACTATTATTACTAGAGTGTGACCGCTTTGCTCGTTACCATCTAGTATGTGAACATCATGATTTAGTTTGGATAAAAAGAACAATATGACCACTAAAAAGAATAGGTTGCATGGTTTTAATAGCAGTTTCATAACTTGAAAATATTTAGAAACCACTGAAATAAGATGAAACAGCAGCAGTGTTAGGTATGGGGAAAAATCTTGTATTTTCTCCATCATTTTCCTTGGAAAACGTTTTAGTTTACTTTAAAATTAACATGATTTTCAATAGGTAGGCCTACAATATAACATTAATTTGGTCAGGGCAGCTGAAGCAAAGTTTTACTGTAACTCATTGAGAACCATAAAACCGACTGTGCCTGAATACTGTGTGTGCTTGAAAAATGAATGTGTTTGAAAGTTGCCCTTTTGGCATTCCATATAAAACTGCAAAACTGTACGTTGAATGTTGCTCTTTTGACGTTCAATATAAAACCACAAAATGACTGAGACACGGCTACGGAATGCGGAAATACGTAAACGACATTTTGGTCCAGTGCAATACATGTGGTCCGTGAAAAACGTCAGTAAAAGTAATTATTTTTCCCACAATTAATCTGAAATATGGATTGATATTCATTCAGGTGATCAAGATTTGATGATTTATGTCATTACAGATTTCCAACCAGTAGGTTTCGAATCCCAGATGTTTCTTGAGGCCCTTGGTTTTTCATTGTGATTTTAGTTTTTGAACTAAGCGTAATGCAATATAGATTAATTAAACATAACAGGATAAGGACCTGAAAAGATTTTAAAATATTTATAGTCCTACTTAATTCTACCTCAGAATTTTCAAAATCACTACCAAGAAGAGGTGAAAGAGGTTAAAAACCTATTAATATAATGATTATAGCATTACAGCAAGACAGTTTTGACTTTATCTCTATATTGTGCCATGATTTTTACTGTGAATATGAATATATTCATATATTATGTTA